TTTGCAACCTTCTGACCAGCAAACTCAATTGGGACAACCAGATTCACTTAACAACCATGTTACTAACTTAACAACTGTGGTGATTCACTTAACAGCGGTGACAAAAGACAGGTCCTAAAACGGGGCGAATTCACTTAACTGTCTCACTTAGCAACAGAAATTTTGGGCCCGATTGTGGTCGTAAGTCTAGGGTTACCTGTAGATCGGTATCTCCTAGGTACAGAACTGGGTTAAGTAAACCTCGTCCAAGGGTAAGCGTGTTGAGTAAACAGTCATAAGCAGCAGATTAATGACTAAGATCGCACCCCAACTTGAGGACAATTCAGGATGATTCCAGTTGTGCAAGACAAAAAAGGATTTGAAGAGCTGCTCCTTTGGTGCCGGCTGGAAAGGAAGGTCAGCCCTGGATTTGGAACCCAACCAGCCCCCCTGGCTTAGCTTGGCAGTATGAAGACAAAACTGGTGACATCAATGGAGACCAGAAAGACACGGAGACGGAGCACCAAACTTTCTCTCTCTCTGATGGAATGGCATATCAATAGGAAATGACAAGGCTGCAGCTGCCACCTCCAATGACGTCGAAGCACCCTTGCCTTTTCTGAGACATGACATCAAGGAGAGGTGACTCATTCTAGATAGAAGGAAAGCAGGAACCTTAGTTGGTTCTATATTTAAACACTCAAAAGGAAGGAAATGTACCTTGGGCAGGATTGGACGTTTCCTTTCTGAAAGAGTATATTGTTGGGAGATGGATGCGGACCACCCACCAGCTCTTTTGATAGAAAGGAAATGGAATGAATTATGGCCACAAGCTCTCCGACAGTTTCATGCTACATAAATGCTCCCCAGGAATAGCATGGCCTCACAGGCAGCTCAAAATAGATGAAACCTGTAACAAGAATTCTAAAAGAAATATTGGGCCAGGAGGAGGAGGAAGAGGAGGATGGACTTAAGGTTGTTGAGTTCATACACTGGACAGTATCGCTGGCAAATCCTAACGTCATTGTGGGTTGGTGCAAACTTCTCTGCTGAAAAAATGTAGAGTTGACCTTGGGTAGTGATGGCTAACCTTTTCCGGATCGAGTGCCCAAAGCATGCTGGTGCACGAACCCCCCAAATGCAAGGCACGCACAGCCCCCACATGCGCCCTGCCCTCTGCACATGTCCGTGCACTCCACGCATGCACCCCACCTCCTCACGCATGCACGCACGTCCCCCCCCCAGCCCTGACCCCCCCCCATGCATGCACAGCAGAGACCCAAAGACAAGCTGGCCATCGGGAGACGCGCGCAAATGCGCGATGGAGCTGAACTGGGGTGATAGCTTGCGTACCCACAGAGAGGGGGCTGCGTGTCACCTCTGGCACACCTGCCATAGGTTCACCATCACGGACCTTGGGAATAAAAAAAGAATGAACGAGCCATGAAGGAGGGCTGTGCAGAAAAAATTATATAGTCCCAAGGACTATAGTGGCGTAGAAGGCTAATGCCTCCTAAGGCAGCATTTAACATCCAGCTGCCTGCAATTACTGCGAGTTCAATTCTCACCAGGCTCAAGGTCGACTCAGCCTTCCATCCTTCCTAAGGTGGATAAATTGAGGACCCAGTTTGTGGGGGCAATAAGCTGACTTTGCATAAATATACAAAAGGATGAAGGCTATTGCTTAATGCACTGTAAGCTGCCCTGAGTCTCCGGAGAAGGACGGCATATAAATCAAATTTAAAAAAAAAAAAAGAGGGAATCATGAGGAATGTAAAATAACTGTGCCTTGATTTTGTTTAATAGAAAATGGGACAGAAAGTGAGTTGGGAAAGGGCTTTCAAGATTGTTTTTCTACCTTACTACAATAGAGTATCCATTCCATGCCTTACTTGTTTCTTGACCCCACCTTAGCATTGAAACATCTTGTTTAATTCAAGACATGAATAAATCACAACTGGAACATTTATTTAGCACAGGGGTCAGCAACCTGTGTCTCTGGAGTCACATGTGGCTCTTTCATCCCTCTGCTGAAGCTCCCTGTCACCGGTCAGCTCAATTGATAGGCCTTTCGGTTAGGACAGGTAGAGGAAAAAGGACGCTGCGCTAGGAGGAGGCTCTATGGTGGGGAAACCAGACTTCCGGTAGGCTTCAGAATTGAACAGGGGGCTTCCGGTTTTTAAAGTTGCTGACCCCTGATTTAGCATATGGCGCAACTAGAAAAGCCTGTAGAACACACTAAAGCCCAAAGCAAACTTTGCAAACCACAATAGCTGGGGTCCGCAAAACCCACCAATCCAAACAAAGCAGGGACCAGCTTAAATATTGCCAGTTGCAACATCGATTTAAGTAGTAATGCTCAAGACAAATGAAAGTCCACTTTAGAGACTTTTCAGCAACTAGCAATTATAACAATGACAATTATCTCTCTTTAAGAAGACTTAATTAAACAAGCTTTGATTGGACCACTTATGTATCTTCAAGTTTACAGTTAAGGAGAATCCGCTATTCATGCTGTGGACTTTGACTGGGGAAGGGGAAATGCTGAACAAAGGTCACAGATCCCTGCTTCAACACAGGTGGGGGTTCTTTGTGGTAGGGGAGACAGGAAGGAGAACTGGGAGAAACAAAAAAGAGGGAGAGGGAGGGAGGAGAGGGAGAGCAGAAGGAAGGAGGGAGGAACAAAGGGAAGAGAGAAAGGAAGGAAGGAAAGAGCAGGGAGTTGGATTAGAAGAGGGGTCTGCAACCTTAAACGCTCAAAAGAGCCATTTGGACCTGTTTCCCACAGAAAACACCGGGAGACACAAAACCTTCCCGTGCCTATTTCTTGAGCAGCCACAAAACTAGCATATATAGTTGAATTAAACGTTTTCTTCTGAAACTTTTGTTGGATTTATCCATAGTTGGTTTACCAGGGGTTGAAAAGCTCAATAAATTGCGTGCCAGTGGGTGTTGCACATTGGCGATTGTGACATGTATTTTGAGTGACAGGGAGCCACAGCACAGGGGTGAAAGAGCCACATGCGGCTCCAGAGCTGCAGGTTGCTGACCCCTGGACTAGAAGGTGTCCCTTCCAACTCTTATTCTGCATTTTGTTTGTTCCTAGCGCTAACCAAAACAGCCTATGGAGGAAGGAAAGTAACTTTTCTTCTTTATGCTGTTCTTCAAGTTCAGAAAACCCATTTTCCCAGCCTCATTTGCAACACAACCACAAAGCAAGTTAAGGTATAAGCCAGCTATTACCTTTTTACAATGCATAGATTTTTAGTGTTGTGTGAACAAGTGGTGGGATTCAATTTTTTTTTACTACCGATTCTGTGGGTGTGGCTTAGTGGGCGTGGCAGGGGAAGGATACTATAAAATCTCAATTTTCTCCCCACTCCAGGGGAAGGATACAGAAAAATCCCCATTTCCTCCTGATCAGCTGGGACTCGGGAGGCAGAGAATAGATGGGGGCGGGGCCAGTCAGAGGCGGTATTTACCAGTTCTCCAAACTATTCAAAATATCCGCTACCAGTTCTCCAGAACTGGTCAGAACCTGCTAAATACCACCCTCTGGTGTGAACCCAGCCAGAAGGAGGATTAGTCTGCATGTCATAGTTAAGCAAACTAAAGCTTAGGATAATGTACGAAACCAGCATAAGCCATTGGCTCAGAATCGGGCATAAAACAGATAAAGATTCAGACCCGATTCTCCTGTAATCGGAGTAACAAGTGAACAGCTTCCCACTTAACAGAAGTCCTAATCCAGATAAAAAGAAACTCCAGTGCAGTTTTCACACAGCCAAAATGACAAGAGTGCATGTGGAGTTAGAAGTAGATATTATTTACACAAATTTATTTAACACATCTTGCTAAAACATGGCCTTTTAAAAGTATACTTTGCTGAACAAGCCATAGTGGGCTTCTTCCTGTACATTCTACCATAAACGAATCATAACAATCTCTGAAATAATCTTCAGAGCAAGACCAAACAAACCACATTGGGTAAGAGGAATAGGCCACATATTTCACCTTTAACTTCTGATGTAGCATGAACTATGTCAGTCAAGGGGGAAGTATTACAGGTGGGCCTTGACTTACATTCATTTGTTTGGTGACTGAAGTTACAACCGCACAGAAAAATGTGACTTATGACCATGTTAAGTTACAACCGAGCAGTATCCATAGGGTTGGTCATGCGATCTACATTTGGGCACGTGGCAACTGGCATGTATTTTATGCCGGTTGCAATGTCATGTGATCAACTTTTGCAACCTTCTGACAAGGAAAGTCAATGGAGAAGCCAGATTCATTTCACAACCATGTCATTAATTTAATTTTAAATGGGGAAAAACTCACTCAACTGTCTTGCTTAGCAATGGAAATTTTGGGTTCAATTGTACTTGTAAGTCAACAACTGGTTATTTGTATAAAAAAATGGGTGGGGGAAAAAAGCACAATTGGGATATTTTAAAAAAAAGGAAAATTACTTTCAATTGCTCAAGCTATTCCTATTATCTGATGAAAGAAACAGTCACATTTTAACCTTTTTTGGCAACGTCTAAGCCAGAGTTTTTCAATCTTGCCAACTTTAAACTGTGTGGACTTCAAATCCCAGAATTCCCCACTCAAGTTGGGTGAAGAATTCTGGGACTTAAAATCCAAACATCTTAAAGTTGCCAAAATTGGAAAACACTGGTCTAAGCATTTTCTATGTGCTAGAAGTCGTTACTACCGGATCATATGAGTCAAATTGTCATTGCTAGATGTTATTAAAAGCCTTCTCTGGTATGTCATTCCTGCATCATTGGGATTGATTGATTGATTGAATGAATGATTGATTGAGACCCAGGCCTCATTGTTGGAATAAAAGTCTCAAGTGATACAGCCCAATCAAAGATTAGCTAACTCAAGGGGAATTAAGTCTCCAAATTCCAGCACGTTGGCCGTACCCACGAAGGTGATTGATAAAAATTGAACTCTCTTTGAAACGAAAGGCAGCAAAGCATAATAAAGAACTAAAAGAGTCTGCTAAGATAGACCAAAATATACTGTATATTTAATTTTCAGCAGCTGGCTCTCCAAAACAAAATCAACCGTAGGAACAAGTCTTCAGAGCAAACATTCAACTCAAGCACAGTAACCTAAGGGCTTTCTTTTTTTCAGAAGGATCAGATTCCCTCTATATTGCGACTTCAGGGAAAAGATTCTCCTCTTGAAGAGTCTGTATCCTGAAAATGGCTAGGCTCTCTCTCAGAATCCAGCGTTTCTCCCGATGGCTCCGCTTCCTCTGACATTTGCTCAATGTAATTTTGGGTTAGCTCTTCTTCAAACTCATGCTGAACGTCATTAGATACATTGCTGGCAGTTCCTGCTTCTTCGGCTGCACCCTCCACTTCTTCCAAGACCACATCGAAGAGGGATCGACGAGAAGCTGTTGATCTTCTTCCACTCAATTTGATCCTTGGAGAAAAACAAATCGGCCTGTTGGTCTTTGGCGTGGACATACAAATTCCCTCTGGCTTGTCCCTCATCCAGTTCATCTATTAATTCATCATGTTCCTCTTCCTCATCCGACACAATAATTGCAGGACGCTTCTTTTTCCCCAGCCCAAAACTGTCTCTACTATCACATGGACCGTTGGAATCGTCCATGACCACAGAGCCCTCTGCACCATTGCCAGCCTGGAGGCCTCTGTGACTCCCATGTTCTCTCCCAACTGATTCAGTTCCAGAGCTACAGTAGCTATCTAACCTCAGCTGGAATCCTACATTTTCTGTCTCCTCTAATGACATGTGTTCTTCTGCGAAGGTTTGTGGTTCATTCTCAGAATCCTCCAGGGCAAGGTTGAAATTGACCTGATAGTGAGAGGAAATATCAAGAGACTTGAACTGCGCAGTTTCTCTTCTGTCAGAGTTCTGCAGTGAGTTGCTTTCTGTCATTTTGCTAAGCATGGTATCCTGTGCCACAGCATCTGGTTCCTTAATTTCGCAGGCATCTCCATGAAGACCATCAAGTGACATGTCAGACTCAGTTTGGTGCATGCCACCATCTGAAGAGTACGCAATGGAGTCCTGCCTGCAGCAGTTTCATGTGGACATCTTTAAGCTCATTTCTTGCTTCTGGAGATGGATTGCAAGAGATCATTTTGGATTCAGAGTTGACACTGCCTTCGATAGATAATGAAGTAGCTTGGAGAAGCGAAGATACAACATTTAGACTCTCATTTTGCTCATCTGCTTGCAGTCTGGTTGGTTGATACTCTTTGTTTTTGAAGTGCAGAACTTCCGTATTGATTGTATGCAAAACCAGTTGCTCATCATCCTTATCCTGGGCAGGCAGTTCAGAGATTGCGCTGGATTCAGGATTGTAGTCCTCCTTGTTAGATACTGGATGATTCTGAAAAGGGGACACAAGACCTGTCCCAGGCTTTAGTTCACACACTTGGAAGCTGGGAAAATGTTCTTTCTCCTCAGAAGGCAAAGCATCTTCCGTATTAGAAATAATCTGAAGCATTTGCTCATCATCCACGTCTTCAACAACCAGACTGGTCATTTTAGAGCTCAAATTGACCATATCATCAACAACTTCATTGTCATCATGGCTTACAAGTTCAATCACTTTGTTACTGAGGGCAGGACTAATAAATACAGGTGGGGTAACCACAGGAGTTGGAGGAGGGGTTGGTGATTTCTTCATGGATGGAATAGGTGATGCCACAACTATTGGGTTTGTCCTTTCAGACATGGATGGCCCAAGAGTGTCACCTGGTGAAGACTTGGATGGTTTGTTTTTGGCTGGGTGGATGATTCTATATCTCTTAGCGATGCTCCTTCAGACGTGTTTGTGATATTTCTCCTGTGCTGATAGTGAGAGGAAATATCAAGAGACTTGAATTGCGTAGTTTCTCTCGTGTCAGATTTTTGCAATGTGATGCTTTCTGTCATTTTGCTAACTATGGTCTCAAGTGGTGCCACAGCATCTAGTTCCTTAATTTCGCAGGCATCTCCATGAAGAACATCAAGTGACATGTCAGACTCAGTTTGGTGCATGCCACCATCTGAAGGGTACACAATGGAGTCCTGCAGCAGTTTCATCTGGACATCTTTAAGCTCATTTCTTGTTTCTAGAGATGGATCGCAAGAGATAATTTTGGATTCAGAGTTGACACTGCCTTCGATAGATAATGAAGTAGCTTGGAGAAGAGAAGATACAACATTTAGACTCTCGTTTTGCTCATCTGCTTGCAGTCTGGTTGGTTGATACTCTTTGTTTTTGAAGTGCAGAACTTCCGTATTGATTGTATGCAAAACCAGTTGCTCATCATCCTTATCCTGGGCAGGCAGTTCAGAGATTGCGCTGGATTCAGGACTGTAGTTCTCCTTGTTAGATACTGAATGATTCTGAAAAGGGGACACAAGACCTGTCCCAGGCTTTAGTTCACACACTTGGAAGCTGGGAAATTGTTCTTTCTCCTCAGAAGGCAAAGCATCTTCCGTATTAGAAATAATCTGAAGCATTTGCTCATCATCCATGTCTTCAACAACCAGACTGGTCATTTTAGAGCTCAAATTGACCATATCACTAACAACATCGTTGTCATCGTCGCTTGTAAGATCAATAACTTCATTACTGACGACAGGACTAATAAATACAGGCGGGATAACCATGGGAGTTGGAGGAGGAGTTGGTGATTTCTTCATGGATGGAATGGGTGATTCCATGACTATCGGGTTTGTCCTTTTGGACATAGATGGCCCAAGAATTTCACTTGGTGAAGACTTGGATGGTTTTGTTTTTGGCTGGGTGGATGAGTCTATATCTCTCAGCCATGCTCCTTCAGTCGTGTTTCTGATATTTCTCATGTGCTGGTCATTCAACTGAGATTCTAGTTGTACCAACTCTTGGGCTTTTTGGACTCTGTGTTCAATGTACCTATGGGCTTCTTCATTTTCGGCTTCATCATCATGTGCTGTGTCACGTGTGTACATCAAATCATGGTCAGAAATGCCAAATATATCTAGCGCATGGAGGTATGCAATGTGTTCATCCAGCTTAGTATCTGTTTTTCTTTGGGTGGCATGCAAGGACTGCAGTTGTAACTGTGTGGCCGAGCTTCGCGTGTCTTCCAATATGAACAACTCCTTTAGCTCTTGCACAGTGAAATAGCGATAGGGATTTTTCTTATCGCCCGTGCTTTGACGTATTAAGGAATCCTTGAAGACTTGTCTTCTATAAATCTTCTCTTCTACTGTCCCACAGGTAATCAGACGGTAGATTATGACATTCTCTTTTTGGCCAATCCTGTAAGCTCGGTCCACAGCTTGGGCATCTGTAGCTGGATTCCAGCTAGGATCAAAAATCACCACACGGCTAGCAGCTGTTAAGGTTAAACCAACCCCACCAACTTGAGTAGTAAGCAAAAAGACAGAGTAGTCTCCATCTTTCTGAAACATGCCAATTCTCTTCTCTCGTTCTGCCAACTGGGTCACTGTCCCATCAACGCGCATGAGCTTAAATCCCCTGTGAGTTAAGACACGCTCTATAATGTCCAACATTTTTCGCGATAGGGAGAACACCAGAGTTCTATGTCCCTCGTCTTGCAGTCTTTCCAGCAGCGCCACAAGGAAGCTCAACTTTCCAGACTCCTGAATCAGCATCTCATCAGAAACATGCCCAATACTCCTTTTCATGTCTGGGAGCTCACTAAGGTCATTTTCACCAACATCTTGTTCGCTATAATTGGATGCTTCCAGGCCTAGTTGACTGCATGCTCGATTTGACAAGAGCCTTGGGTGATCACAGAGCTTCTTCAGGACAGTCAACTCAGCCAGTGGAGACCTGGTAGACAACAACAGCTCCTTGATATGATCCAAAGATATAAAATTTCTATATATTTCCTCTTGTATGGGTGATAAGAACGCCCATATAATGAACTCGTTCTTTCGAGGAAGTGAAGGCATGGTGGGAGCAAGATCTTTGCTTTGGTTTCCAGGAAGATGGTTTGGAAGTTCAGCCTTTTTCTTCTTCTGGAGCTCATCTTTAGTCCGTCTCAGAAAATATGGCTTTATGATGGACATCAGATTTTCTGAGATTTTAAGTCCCAGAGCTTTCTCTCCAGGAGTGGCGTCTTTTGCCCTGGCTCTTGTGATGGGGTTCTCATATTCCATCCGAAAGGTTTTGCTGGTACCCAAAAGCGAGCCTTGACAAGCAAAATCAAAAAGAGCCCAAAGTTCTTTGAGATTGTTTTGAACCGGAGTCCCTGTGAGAAGGATGCGGTTTTTGGAAGGAATGGCATACACAGATTTTGTCGTTTTGGCAGATGGAGTTTTGATTTTATGGGCTTCATCCAGAATGATATAGTCCCAAACAAACTCTTTCCCACCAAAGCTAGAAAGCTGCGGCCAGCTGTTGAGGAGCATCTGGTAGGTTGTGAGCAAGACGCCCCTTCTCCTCTGGATCCGCTCCAGAGACCTGTTACGTTCAGCTTTGTTGGTCCCATGAAAAACTTTCACTCGCAGGCCTGGGGTCCACTTGGCAAACTCTTTCACCCAATTGTTAAGAAGGGTGGCTGGGAGAATCAGCAACACGGAACAGATGAGTTTTGCGTCAAACATTCCGGAGAGGAAGGTAATGATCTGAATGGTCTTCCCGAGTCCCATGTCATCTGCCAGGATGCCGCCCTTCCTTCTGTCTCGATATAACTTGTACAAAAAAGCAACCCCTTCTCTCTGATAGTCAAAAAGCTTATCGTGCATTTCTCCATACAGCATGAGTCCACTCTGACACACATCCACAAAGCCATCATCGTCCTCCTCCTCCTCCACAGCCAGAGAAGCTAGGGCTTCCTCCAACTTTTTAATGTTCGCGGTCAGCTTTTCACTGAAATGGATTTCAAGAGCCTGTTGGAACAAGTGGATAGATGCTTCCAGGTTCCCATTTCGGGCCTCCTCCTTGGCTTGGGACACAGATCTGTAAAATCAAGAGACAGTTCTGTAGTCAGAAACACACCCGAAAGAAACCCCACTCAAGGCAGAAAAATAAAGGACACGGAAGAGATTTTAGCGCTTTCTGCCTATGCAGCATAAGTGCCTTGGATTCAGAGGTGGGTGATAGTAGTAGCGCTTACTTCTACAGGTAGTCGTCAACTTACAACAGTTCATTTAGTGACCATTTAAAGTCACAACGGCACTGAAAAAAATGACTTATGACGTTCTTCACACGACTGTTGCAGTATCCCTGTGGTCAAAATTTGGACAGTTGGCAACTGATAACTCATATTTATGACACTTGTAGTGTCCCAGGGTCACATTATCCCCATTTGCAACCTTCTGACCAGGAAAGTTAATTTAGGGAAGCCAGATTCACTTAACAACTATGCTACTAACTTAACTGCAGTGATTCAATTAACAAATGCAGCAAGAAAAGTCGTAAAATGGAGCATAATTCACTTAACAATTGTCTCATTTAGCAACAGAAATGTTGGGCTCAATTGTGGTCATAAATCGAGGGCTACCTGTATTAAAGCCATGCGAGCCTGCAAATCTGAAAATCCACAAATTCTCCTTTCGTATTATATATTATCTTCTTTCTCCTTCCTCCTCTTAGACATGGGAGTTCTACTATTAGAGGTGGGCTGGTTGTAAATGTATTCCACAGCCTCAAGAAGACAGCCTGGCAAAATTACCGTATTTTTCGGAGTATAAGACACACCCTTTTCCCCTCTAAAAGGGGGTGAAAATTTAGGTGTGTCTTATACACTGAATGTAGCCCCGCCCACCCACTGGCCTCCACCCTTTGGCCTCTGCTTCCCAGCAATTATCTCCTTGCAGCAAACAGCAAGAAAAAACAGCTCCTTTCCGCTTCAGTACAGCCTTTAGCACAAGTTGATTGGATCGGCCTCCTGACACTCAGCTGATTTGCTCTCAGAGGTTTTGCGCAGGGCTCTGTTGCTTGCTCCAAGGAGCTAAATTGCTGCAGCAGATTTTTTTCCCTTGTGCTAATCAAGCTATGCTGAAAACGAAAATGAAAGTAAAGCAGACTGTTTGCTGCAACGAGGCGAACAGCCTGCTTTATTTTCATTTTCGTTTTCAGCATAGCTTGAAACTCGTTGCCTTGGAACGAGGCAAAATTGCTCAGAGGCAGATTTCTTTTTCTTCTTTTCCTCACCAAAAAAGGTAGATGCGTCTTATAGTCCAGTGCGTCTTATACTCCAAAAAATACGGTATTCTTTACCTTCAGCAAAAGCTTTCAACAAGGCTTACTTCCAAATAATTGAGGATGCAGTTCCAAACATAGCCTCCCTCTCACTCTAGATTTTTTTTTTTTTAAAGCAATAGATGCAGTCAAGGTTCTTCGCTGACTTTATTAGCAAACAGGACTTTGTGTCAGATTATTCATGAACTGGCAGAGACATGGTAACAAGGTCAGCCAATGAATAGGCATATCAACTAAATCAGCCAATAGGAGCTGAAACAGTTTGGAGGCTGGGCATATCTCAGCTCCGTGCTGTGCTGAGAACTGAAACTGAAACCAGTGTGAACTTGTCTGCTGATTTGAGCTGAAATGAAACTGTTCTCTGCTTTTGGTATTGTATATATATTCTTATATATAAAGAAGTTTCTTATTTAAATCAATCCTGCTGAATCAGTTTACCTGTGTGCATTTTCTGGATTTAATTTCTGCAACAAACTCTGATAAGTTATGGGCCCAGAGCACACAGAAAGACTAAACTGTAATTAAACTGAGAGACTGCCTGTGTTAAATAAGAGAACAAGGCAGAGAAAGCTTGCAGGATGGCTGCTGTTGAATTTAAAGAAAGCTCTCTGCTTCGTTTGGGATAGAAGAACAACAGAAGCAACAGAGGCTGTGCTTCATTTGTGGTGAAACAACACATTTAAAGAACTGTTTGCAAAAGAAAAGCTGTTTGCAAGGAAGACAATTGCAAGATGGACAGGTTGCTGTTGCCAAAGTTAGCTATTGCATAGCAGAGACAACTGGTTGATAGACAGTGGGGCAAGTCGAACAATTGTTAACAATTCTAAATTGTTTTTCAGAATGGATCCAGCTGCTGGAAATGCAGTAGCCTTGGCAAATGGCCAAAGGCTAAAGTCATTGGAAGTGGCAGTGTGCAAATTCCATATCTGGAAACGAGGTTTAATGATATATTATGTATGCCTGAAATGGAGCGTAATTTGCTGAGTGTCTCTAGTTTAGACAAGCAAGGATTTGAGACCACATTTGCAAAGGGCATAAAAAAGGATAATCTTTATGTGTTGCAAGACAAAAGGTGCACAAACATTTGGAAATGTACCACAACACGATTCATGTGTTCATCTCTTGCACAGAAAGCTTGGCCATGCTAGCTTCCGAGTTTTGCAAAAGATGGACCAGAGTTTGGAGAAGGATTACATTTAAAGGGATGTAAAGCATACTTGGCAGTGGTGAAATCTAAAATTTGTTACTACCGGTTCTGTGGGCGTGACTTGATGGGGGGTGGGTTTAATTTGACTGGGTGGGCGTTTTTTGTTTTACTTTTAAAAGCATTTTTTTACCACCTCTTCACCGAAGAGGTGGTAGAAAAAATGGTTTTAAAAGCCTTTGAAGATCCCAGCTGAGCCGCGATCATCAGAGGCTTTTTTAAAAGTTTTAAAAGCATTTTTTCAGCCGAAGAGGTTGTAGAAAAAATGCTTTTAAAAATTGGGGGGGGGGGAAGCCTCTGATGATTGCATGGCTCAGCTGGGCATGGGGGGGGGGGGGCAGGGATTTTTGCTACCGGTTCTCCGAACCACCCGCCTCCATCGCTACCGGATTGGGCGATCCGGTCCGAACCGGGAGCATTTCACCCCTGATACCTGGACTGTGCAGTATGCAAATCATCAAAGTCCAAAGCATTTCCAGTAAGCAACTATAACACAAGGCAGACAACAAGAGCTCTAGAGCTGGTACATGCAGATTTGACTGGACCAATGCAAGCCAGTTTGGGAGGAGCAAAGTATGCGCTGGTCATTGTAGATGACTACAGCAAGTTTGGGTTCTGCTATTTACTAAAGAGGAAAATGGAGGTGCTACAGAAATTGAAGCAATGGGTAAGCTTCCTAGAAAGAAGATATAAACAACAGGTAAGTAAGCTGCAGACTGACAGAGGTTCAGAATTCATGTCAACAAGTTTTCACCAATGGTTGGCACAGTTAGGAATAAAACACAGATGCACAAATCTGTATGCAGCAGCTGAGAATGGTGTAGTTGAGAGGCAGAATGGAGTCTTACAAACCATGAAGGAATCACTGCTGGAGGACTCTGGTTTGATCAGGTCATATTGGGGGTGAAGCTATGTTGACTGCTAATTCTTTTATTAATAGGCTGTGGAGTTCATCCATTAATGATACTCCATATGCAGTGTTATATGGGAGAAAACCATCTCTGGCACATTTAAGGGTTTTTGGTAGTAATGCATGGGTCCATATTCCAAAAGCAATTAGAAGAAAGGGACAACCAAAAGCTAGAAAGCTCAAGTTTATGGCCTATGAGCCAGGTTCTAGAAGCTATCACTTTAGTGATGGGAGCAAAAGAATAGTGATTTCCAGGTCTGCTAGCTTTGCAGAGCAAAACTGAAAAAGAATTGATGCAAATTTATGGAATGATTCACTTAGTGACAGTGATCCACTTAGTGATGATGTCAGCATTCAGGGAGAAGCTGAAAAAGATTTGAAGCAAGAGAGGGTTGAAACACAGGAGCAGTCAATGATATGCAGGTCAGAGCGATGGAACAAAGGGATTCCACTTGACAGGTATTCTGCTAGTAAAGGTGTGTAATGTATGGTGTGAGCCAAGAAATTATAAGGAAGTATTGGCATTACCTAGAATTGAACAAGTAAAGTGGAAAGAAGCCATGGACAAGGAAATGAAATCCATGGATGAACATAACGTGTTCACATCTATGACTTTGCTACAGAGTAGCAAAGCTGTAGGATGCAAGTGGGTATACAAGAGGAATGTACTACTTAATAATGAGGTATAGTATAAAGCAGTGATGGCGAACCTAATGCACGCGTGCCACAGATGGCACGTGGAGCCATATCTGTGGGCACGCAAACATTGCCCTAGTTCAGCTCCAGCGCGCATGCATGCCCCAGCCAGCTGATTTTCGGGCCTTCTGGGCCCATCGGAAGTTGGGAAACTGCCATTTCCGGCCTCTGGAGGGCCTCCGGGAGGGTGGGGGAGGCTGTTTTCGCCCTCCACAGGCTCTAAGAAAGCCTCCAGAGCCTGGGGAGGGCAAAAAATGTGCCTAACAGGCCCACCAGTAACCTTTTTACCGTTGCATGCCAAAAGCGGGGGAGTGCGGGGGGGTCGCGCAACATGCGCAGGGGCATTGAATTATGGGTGTGGGCACGCACACCCGCGACCTCCCCACACTTTTGGCACACGACGGCAAAAAGATTAGCCATCACTACCATCAAGGTTAGTGGCACAAGGTTTTTCACATATGAAAAATGTACACTATGATGAGGTATTTGCGCCAACTGTAAAGAGCAAACGCATCAGGCTGCCACTAGAGTAGGCAGCGGCACATGGCCATAAAATTTGGCATTTTGACATAACCACTGCATTGCTCAGTGCAGAATTAGAGGAGGAAATTTACATGATTCAGGCACCAGGGGATGAAAGTAAAAGGCCTAACATGGTGTATAAATTGAACAAGGCCATTTATGGGCTGAAGCAGTCAGCCAGGAATTGGAATATATGTTTAGATACTGCATTGAAGGGTCTTGGGTTCAAGAGTTGCAAGGCTGATGGTTGCATATACACTGGAAAGTTACAAGGTGGAGATTGTAAACTATTAGAATTTGTGGATGATCTTTGTTTCATTGCAAAGGATGTATCACAGGTAAAAGAATTTGCTAATAAGTTAGAAAAGAAATTTGAACTAAAGAATTTGGAGAAACGCAAAATTATCTCGGTGTAGAGATACAAAAAACTAAGAAAGTTGGTTATGTTCTCAGTCAAAAAAGAAAAATTGAACAGTTGTTGGAAATATAACATGAAAGATGGTAATACTGCTCCAACACCTATGAGCACAGATTTTCATAACAGTTTGGGTGAGGACGAAATTGAAGCCTGTGATCAAGAGATGTATCAGTCAGCAATAGGGAGCCTGTTATATCTGTCACAGTGGTCCAGACTTGTGCAGTAAGCATCTTGAGTCGCTTTACTGCTGCACCAACGCAATTGCATTGGATACGTGTAAAAAGGATTCTCGGGTATTTGAAGGGAACTGTGAATTTGGGTCTTCAAATACAGGTCTCTGAAGAATTAAAACTGAAATGCTATGTTGATAGTGATTATGCAACTGATGTAAAAACCAGAAAGTCCAATTCTGGGATTGTAGTATTGTTTGGAGGGGCTTTAATTGGTTGGAAGTCCAGGAAGCAAACAACTGTCAACATTTCTACTGCGGAGGCAGAATTTATTGCTTTATCTGAACTCAGTTCAGAGGTAACCTGATATATACAGCTGTTACAGGATTTAAATGTAAAGGTAAATGAAGCTGTGTATGAAGATAATGCTGCCTGCTTTAAAATGGCAACAGGTGACGGAGTAAAGAATAGAAGCAAGCATGTGGACATTAAAGATTGTAATGTCAGGGAAGCCATAAAATGTTAATTGATTAGCTTGCTTCACTGTTCTTCAGAGGACAATTTGGCAGACATAATGACCAAGCCATTGGGTGGAGTGCACCATGGAAAGAATATTAAGTTAATTGGATTTATGTCTCTTCCAGTCATGAAGGGAGGAGTGTCAGATTATTCATGAACTGGCAGAGACATGGTAACAAAGTCAGCCAATGAACAGTCATAGCAACTAAATCAGCCAATAGGAGCTGAAGCAGTTTGGAGGCTGGGCGTGGCTCAGCTCCGTGCTGTGCTGAGAACTGAAACTGAAACCAGTGTGAACTTGTCTGCTGATCTGAGCTGAAATGAAACTGTTCTCTGCTGTTGGTATTGTATATATCAGTGATGGCTAACCTTTTTGCCATCGAGTGCCAAAAGCGGGGGGAGTGCGGTCACGCATACATGTGCCCACACCCATAATTCTATGTGCCCCGGCCAACACACATCCACGTGCCCCCCCCGTGCTCTCCCTGACTTTTGGCATGCGATGGCACGGCAGGCCACCAGACTTCCGGTGGGACTGGAAGTCAGGAAATGGGCTATTTCCGGCCTCTGGAGGGGTGGGGAATGCTGTTTTCGCCCTCCTAGAAAGAGATCCTAGAAAGGCTCTGGAGCCTGGGGAGAGCGAAAAACGGGCCTTCCGGTCCCACCTGAAGTCAAGAAACGAGCTGTTTCCGGCCTCCGGAGGTCCTCCAGGGGGGTGGGGAAGGCCATATTCGCTCTCCTCAGGCTCCTAGAAAAGCTCTGAAGCCTGGGGAGAGTGAAAGACTTCCTCATCCTCCCAGAGGCCCTCCAGAGGCTGGAAACTGTGTTTCCTAACTTCCGGTGGGTCCAGAAAACCTGAAAATCAACTGGCCGGGACTCGCATGTGCGCCAGAGGTCAGCTCGTGTGCCCACCAATATGGCTCCGCGTGCCACCTGTGGCACGTGTGCCATAGGTTCGCCATCACGGGTATATATATTCTTGTATATAAAGAAGTTTCTTATTTAAATCAATCCTGCTGAATCAGTTTACTTGTGTGTGTTTTCTGGATTTAATTTCTGCAACAAACTCTGATACTTTGTCCATAGAGTGGCTAAATTCCCATCTTGTTTTAAACAAGAGATGCCCAGAACTGGATGGGGAATTGGAGATCATTATTCCAAGCTGTGCTTTGCTTAGCCATATCTTGCAGAATAAATCACAGTTGGCTTGGTTCACCAAACACTAAAGGCAGTCAGTGGTTAAGGCACTGGCCTAGAAACCAGGAGACTGCCTTAAGACATAACAGAATGGGTGACTTTAGGCCAATCCCTCCTTCAGCCCAACCCACCTCACACAGTTGTGGAGAAAATAGGAGGGGGTGCGCCTACAGGGAAAAGGGAAAGCTAAGAGAGTATGGGGGCAGAGTAGAGCTGGCCTATAGGAAGAATGCAGCTGCAGTTCCCAAAACAACTTATTCAAAACCGATTGGACAAGGGGGAGGGGGGAAACAATGGGGAAGCAAACTCCAGTTCTGGCTTTGCTTTATTGTATTCTGCTTAACCTTCAAGTAAACGATACCTTTCTCACCAACCGGAGTCAAGGATCGTTCTTACTTAAAAGCCAGGAGCGGAGGCAGGACCGACATTCTCATTCTTTCCCCCCCCAAATAATTCTGCTGGTTTAACCCTTAGCCAGCTCCCATTGATAAAAGACCCCCTTAGTATTTATGGAGATTCTTAATCATCTAGGTCACGGCTGTCCCAAAGGTGCTTTTCGTTTTCAAAGGAAAAAAAGAATAAAGTCTAGTTGCCTTTTGAAGAAAAGCACCTTTCGGGAGACTCTCTTAGCAGAAAAAAAAAGGAAGATGAATATAGGGATGTAGGATCCCCCACACCTGCGAAGCCCCTCCACAAAGAAGCGGCTTGCCAGGAGCAAATCAGGAGGCGCCCCTTCCCCATACCTGCACCCCTCGGGAAATACCTGCGGTACTCTTCTATTTGCTCCGGGTTCAAATCTCCAAGCTCCGCCATGATTTCGCCCAAACGCGCTCAAAACTATTCTGAATAGTTCAAATTTAAATCTGCGCGCTAATACGCCAGCCTAACCAACCTATCACCGAGAGGCATGCAAATAAACTGGAGGCGGGTTAGCCATTCGGGTCGTTCCAAATACGACCGCCCCTGGGCGGGCCGAAGAAAAGAGGCTGAGTCGAGCTCCATTCATTCATTCATTCATGGGGACGATTGAGACAAATGGGCACGTTGGTTGCTATATCGATTTGTTTATTTACAGAAAAATCGGGGCCACCAAAATAAGGCAGGGCGTCCAAGAAAAATGCATATCCCTTTTAAACCCGTTGCTTTTACTTCGTTGGGAAAAAGACAATTCGTTGTGCATGAGCTACGTGGAAGTAACCTCCATAAATAAAAATTAGGGGAAACCCAATTGTGTCCAGTCGAGCTAAAGTCAGGCAGAACGGGGATGATGAGAACTCTCGCCCGTCTCTAGGTTATACCGGTTGAGAAGCGTCCAAGCCCTGCAGTTGCCTCTTCCCGATAGGGCGCAGCCTCCTCCTTTCCCGGTGACGGAAAAAATCGGGGCCACCAAAATAAGGCAGGGCATGCAAGAAAAATGCATATCCCTTTTAAACCGGTTGCTTTTACTTCGTTGGAAAAAAGACAATTCGTTGTGCATGAGCTACGTGGAAGTAATCTCCATAAATAAAAGTAGGGGAAACCCAATTGTGTCCAGTCGAGCTAAAGTCAGGCAGAACGGTCTCTAGCGATGCGGGGTCTGTATCGGCGCTTCTCCACCTCGAGAATTTAAAGAGAGGTGGGCTTCAACGTCCAGAATTCTGGGCAATCCTGGGAGTTGAAGTCCACCCAGCTTAAACCCGCCGAGGTTTGAGAGACACCGGTGTACGATCTGTTCTGCAGACCAATCTGGGGGCAGTGATGAAGTGGGTCGCTTGCTTTCCTCCAAATGGGCTACAGATGCAGATTTCAAAACTCCCCAAATCCCCACTGGGGGGGGGCAGGTGGGGGATGGCGCTGAAGTCCGATGTGGTGCAGCCTCCTCTGTAAGACCGAGCACTAAAAATCCCCTTCTCTGATTAACCAAATGGCCATTGATCAGTGGATTCCCCTAAATCTGGAAGGACCAGTCCCTGGGATTTAGGGGAACCAGACCTGCCTCGCTCGCCCAAGGCTCCTTCCCTGTAGCAGAGAAACACTACATATCCCATCTTGATCCTCCTTGGCAGGGGATGATGGGAACTCTCGCCCGTCACTAGGTTATAACCGGTTGAGAAGCGCCCAAGCCTGCAGTTGCCTCTTCTTTCCGATAGGGCGCAGTCTCCTCCTTTCCCGGTGACGTCATCAAGGAAAACGAAACTTGGCTGGGAGGAGGAGCCTCGCGCCGCGGCCGCCTCCGTAGCTGCCAAAGACGGCGCTCCCATTGTGCGCATGCGCCTCGGCCAATCCCCTCAACCGCCTCTTCTCTCCTCCTCTTTTCTGTTCGTCAAGCTCCGCGTGACGTGATGTTGACGGAAGAGGCGGGGAGTGGAGCTCGCCGGGCGGAGGCGGAAGCAGGAAGCCCGCTGCTGACAGAAAGGCGAGAAACCCAACAGGTCGCCGGCACCGAGCCGCCTCGCTGTGTTTTCCGCCGTCGTTCGACCCAGGCCCGCACCTGAAGCGCCGCCATGTCCAACATGGAGAGTATCCTGGGTGACGCCCGTCGGGAAAACACGGCCGGGCTCCGATTGGTGGGGGGGGAAGAAACTCCCGCCTCTTGGCGAGATTGATGGGACGGGGGGCGTGGCTAGTGGGGGACCCTTACGGCAGGAGGCGCCCTTGAGAGGGGGTGATTCTTGTGGAGGAGCTTCGGCGCTGAACGCTTTTCCTATTGGCGTTTCTGGATGGGAGTGACAGCGGGAGTAGCCCGTGGGGTGGGGTGAGGGCGTTTTCCTCTCTTCCTTCCAAAGTGGAAGCTTATTTCTCTCCTTTTTCACCCCAAGGGAGGAATCTCCCCCCCCTTCCAAGAAAATTCTCAGGATCCCCAAAAGTGTTGGGGTGTCCCCATTTTTCTCCCTTGGAGGATTGGACCAGTGTCTCTGAAACTTTGAGACAGGTGGACTTCAACTCCCAAAGTTTCAGAAACACATGGACTACAACTACCATCATGCCCAGCCCAGGCATCATAGGACAGCTGTGGATGACCCCTGAGGATCAGAGGCTGATGAAGCCTCCCCACACTGGACAGAGCAAAACCTCTACTGAGGCCCTTCCAAGCTTTTCTGGAGTTATTCTAATAGTAGTGAATCTAGATAATGGCCATTATTTGCATTATTTATTTAAATTGGTTATAGCTTCCCTCTCTGGGAGTCTCGGGGGCTTATGTAATGCAAACATAATAAAAGTGATTAAAAACATATATAGACATAGATATAGGAGAGCCCCAAACTGCAGACTGGGAGTTTCTATAGAATTCTATGTGTGGAACAAGTGTAAGAAGAGCTTGGTGTTGTTATGGTATTTTTCTGACGTTAGCATACAAGTAGTCCTCAACTTACGATCACAATTGAGCCCAAAATTTATGTTGTTCCTAAGTGAGAAATTGCTTAAATGAGTTTTGCCCCATTTTTCGATTTGTCTTGCCACATTTGTTAAGTGAATCTGCAGTGATTAATCACATGGTTGTTAAGTGAATCTGGCATCCCCATTGACTTTGCTTGTCAGAAGGTCACAAAAGGCAATTATATGACTCCTGGACATTGCAACCGTCATAAATGTGAGTCAGTTGTCAAGCGTCCGAATGTAAATCCCATGACCATGGGGATGCTACAACATTTGTAAGTGTGAAAAATGGTCATAAGTCAGTTTTTTCACTGATGTAACTTTGAACGGTCACTAAATGTACTCTAGTAAGTCGAGGACTACCTGTATCCGGATAACAGACATTAATTGCATTATTTATTTAAACTGGTTAGACCTTCCCTCTGTGGGAGTCTCCGGCTTATGTAATGCAAAAACAATAAAAGTGATTAAAAATATAAATACATAGACAGCCTGGCTACGAGATGGTTATTTTCTGTAGAATTCTTTGTGTGAGGGAAGTGTGTAAATTATTCTATTCTATTCTATTCTATTCTATTATTCTATTCTATTCTAAATTATTCTATTTTAAATTTTTGTATTTATGTTTAGTTTATTTAGTTTATTTGATTTGTATACCGCCCTACTCCCGAAGGACTCAGGGCGGTGAACAGCCAAGCAATAAAATACATAAATACACAAAATTTAAAAACCAGATAAAATCAAATTAAATCATTTTGGTCCAGACAGATTAAAACACCCCAATAATTTAAAAACAGATTAAAATTTACATATTAAAAGAGGGAGATTAGGCCAAGCCCGCTTGATGGAATAAAAAGGTCTTCACAGCGCGGCGGAAGGTGCGCAGATCCAGGATCCTCCGTATCTCTGGGGGGAGCCCATTCCAGACGGTAGGTGCCCCCACAGAGAAGGCTCTCCCCCTAGGGGCCGCCAGCTGACACTGTTTGGCTGACGGCACCCGAGGAGTCCCTCTCTATGAGAGCGTACTGGCCGGTGGGAGGCTATTGGTGGTAGTAGGCGGTCCCGTAGATAACCAGGTCCTAAGCCATGGAGCGCTTTAAAGGTGGTAACCAAAACCTTGAAGCGCACCCGGAAGACCACCGGGAGCCAGTGCAGCTCGCATAGGAGAGGTGTCACATGGGAGCGCCATGACACACCCATTGCCACCCGCGCGGCCGCACTGTGCGCCAGTTGGAGCCTCCGGGTGCTCCTCAAGGGGAGCCCCATGTAGAGAGCATTACAATAGTCCAGGCGGGAGGTGACGAGGGCATGAGTGACCATGCGTAACGAGTCCCGATCCAGAAAGGGATGCAACTGGCGAATCAGGCGAACCTGATAAAAAATGCTCCCGGTCACGGCTGTCAGGTGCTCTTCTAAAGACAGCCGTGAATCCAGGAGGATGCCCAAGTTGCGAGCCCTCTCCGTGGGGGCCAATGATTCGCCCCCAATAGTCAGTGATGGCATCAACTGACTATATCGGGACGTCGGAAACCACAGCCACTCGGTCTTGGATGGGTTGAGCCTGAGCCTGTTCCTCCCCATTCAGATCCGTACGGCCTCCAGGCACCGGGACATCACTTCAAGGGCATCGTTGGGGTGATCCGGGGTGGAGATGTACAGCTGGGTGTCGTCAGCATACTGATGGTACTCCACCCCGAAACCACGGATGATCTCGCCCAGCGGCTTCACATAAATGTTGAACAGGAGAGGCGAGAGGACCGACCCCTGCAGCACCCCACATATGAGGGGCCTCGGGGTCGACCTCTGTCTCCCTGTCAACATAGACTGCGACCGGTCAGAGAGAAAGGAGGAGAACCACCGCAACACAGTGCCTCCCACCCCTAACTCTTCTAACCGGTGCAGCATGATACCATGGTCGATGGTATCAAAAGCCGCTGAGAGATCTAACAGAACCAGGACAGAGCAGCACCCCCTGTCCCGAGCCCTCCAGAGATCATCAACCAACGCGACCAATGCCGTTTCCGTGCTGTACCCGGGCCTGAAACCCGACTGGAACGGATCCAGATACGTCGTTTCATCCAGGTGCTGGGGGAGCTGTTGCGCGACCACACTCTCAACAACCTTCGCCACAAAACGAAGGTTGGAGACCGACGATAATTTATCAACATTGCCAGGGAAGGCTTCTTGAGGAGAGGCCTCACCACCGCCTTTTCAGGGCGGCAGGAAAGACACCCTCACCCAACAAAGCATTTATAATCCCCTGGAACCAGCCTCGTGTCACCTCCCGAGAAGCCAGCACTAACCAGGAGGGACATGGGTCCAATAAACAAGTGGTCGCGTTCAGTCTACCCAGAATCCTGTCCACGTCCTCAGGGGATCTAGTATCTAGATATTGTGTATAGATAATGTGTTTCTAGATAATGGCCATTATTTGCATTATTTATTTAAATTGGTTATAGCTTCCCCCTCTGGGAGTCTCAGGGGCTTATGTAATGCAAAAGTAATAAAAGTCATTAAAAACATAGACATAGATATAGGAGAGCCCCAAATTGCAGACTGGGATTTTCTATAGACTTCTATGTGTGGGACAAGTGTAAGAAGAGGTTGTTGTTGTTGTTGTTATGGTATTTTTCTGACATTAGCATAGAGGTAGTCCTCAACTTATCAGGTACGCGGTGGCTCAGTGGCTAAGACGCTGAGCTTGTCGATCGAAAGGTCGGCAGTTCAGCGGTTCGAATCCCTAGTGCCGCGTAACGGGGTGAGCTCCCGTTACTTGTCCCAGTTTCTGCTAACTTAGCAGTTCGAAAGCACATAAAAAATGCAAGTAGAAAAATAGGGACCACCTTTGGTGGGAAGGTAACAGCGTTCCGTGCACCTTCGGCGTTGAGTCATGCCGGTCACATGACCATGGAGATGTCTTCGGACAGCGCTGGCTCTTCGGCTTTGAAACCAAGATGAGCACCGCCCTCTAGAGTCAAGAACGATCAGCACCTATGTACGAGGGCAACCTTTACCTTTAACTTTACTTTAGTCCTCAATGTACGACCACAATTGAGCCCAAAATTTGTTGCTAAGTGATAAATCGGTTAAGTGAGTTCTGTCCCATTTTACGACTTGTCTTGCTTCATTTGTTAAGTGAATCTCTGTAGTTATTAAATTAATAACATGGTTGTTAAGTGAATCTGGCTTCCCCATTGACTTTGCTTGTCAGAAGATCACAAAAGGCGGTTATATGACTCCTGGACACTGCAACCGTCGTAAATGTGAGTCAGTTGTCAAGCTTCCAAATGTAAATCCCATGACCATGGGGATTGCTACAGCGGTTGTAAATGTGAAAAACCGTCATGTCAGTTTTTTCACTGATGTAACTTTGAATGGTCACTAAATGAACTGTGGTTTGTCCAGGACTACTTATATCTGGATAACGGACATTAATTGCATTATTTATTTAAATTGGTTAGAGCTTTTTTGACTTCTAGGCATCTGCTCGCTTTCATGTGCCTGTCAAAATGGAGTAGTCCAGGAAACAGTGTATCCCAATAAATCTGTTAGAATGGAAACACGCACACCCCCATCTCCGTTTTGCAGTTTCAGAGTTGCCGTTTACAGATTTGTTATGGCTGTGATTGATGAGAACATATGCCTGTTCTAAGGTTTCTTTGATGAAGCGCTAAATATGTTTTTTTCCAGCTTCTGGCTGGGCTTCCAGACCAGCTGGTTAGACTTTTGTGTGTGTGTGTGTGTTTTTGTCTTGACATGACACACCACAGTGTCATGCTTGGATATTTCTGGTTTCTATCAGCTGATTCAGTTTTTCTGGGTTTTTTTTTCCTTTTGCTTTAGTTTTATATTTTTAAAATCTGAGAAAAGAATATAAATGTTGTTTTCTCTGCTGCCTTCATTCTAAATCCTACTTCTGTTCATCTAGTTGGCTATAAAGTGCATGGACCATAAACCTTGGTTTCCACATCTTGACAGCTGACTGTACTCCTCTTGCTCAGATAAATCACATCATATTTGCTTTAGGTCAGGACACAAGGATATGTCATCCTAACCATCTTTAATGACAGCTACCAGATGTGTGCTGTGGAAATCAGATAATGAATAGGTGGTAAACAACAACAAGTTAACATAGTGTGTATCTAATTTCTATCACCTAATGGTTGTATGAATATTTGCAGCCCGATATCCCTACCATTATGAATGTTGAGTTTTATGATCTTTTTTAAAGGGTTTGAACTGGTTATTTTGATCTTTGGTGGCTGAAAAAACACGAGCTTTCCGTATATAGGCAATAGTTCCTACCGGTAGAGAATTGTTTTAGTTTTAAGAAGATGTTGGATAACCATTTGTCTGAATGGTTTAGGGTTTCCTGCCTGGACGGGGTTGGACTAGAAGACCTCCAAGGTCCCTCCCAACTCTGTTATTCTATTCTATTCTATTCTATTCTATTCTATTCTATTCTATTCTATTCTATTCTTGATTCCAATAGTTGAAAAGAATTCTGTTCTTGGTAAACTGAGCTCTGAAAATCCGATGAGGGTGTGTTTACTTGATTATATGGAATGTATGAATAATGGTTTCAGTAAAGGGAATTTCAATTATTGTTACAAATTTAGAAAATACTACATTTTTCTATCTCTGTCTGCCAGTTATATATATCTAATCACAAGTTGGTATTAAAATAGCCTCCTAATGGAGGTATGCATTAGTGGCTTTAATTGACCTATATTTAAAGAAAGCTAGGGAGTATTTTCATTTTATAGTCTGCCTTATAATAACTAGAATTGTTTTTTTAATTGATTGATGGCATGTTTAAGCTAGAAAAAAGATTATTTGTTTCTTGCATGGATTCTTAGTGGGTTAAAAAACTCGAGCAAAAATATTAAACCCAGACAAATGCATAAAAGCAAAACATCTCAGTAATACAAATGGCATGAAATAAATATGGCCATGTCTATATTCAAAGGGAGGTTATATCTAAATATTCTCTCCCTCTGAATATTAAATATTAAATGTAAAATATTTAAATTTCAGAGAGCCCTTTTTCAGGTTGCTATGTGCATGGCATGTTCTTATTTCAGTACATTACTTAACTTGAAATCTAGAGCATCTTTTCAATTTGAAATTTGCTGCCAAGGAGCTTAACAGAAATGCAAAAAAGTGTGATAAAGAAGAAAAGGTTGAAAAAGTCAAAATTAAAAAGGTAAGTAATTCATATGGATATTTTCTATATACAAAATGAGAAATTATTACGATGACATTAAAATTATACATAAAAATTGCTATTAAGTATTTATTTCTGTCTGTGTACTCACCTCACAGATTAAAAGTAATTTGTTTTCACAGACTAATGTATAGAATTTCTGCCTCCCAAATATGTACAAATTGTTTCTTTAACATTAGTTCCGACTTGGACTTGACAGTGTTCATGTTCTCATTAAGGCATTGGGTGGGATAATACAATTCATTTGAGAATAAACTAGTCAGCAGTCCTCTAACATTTCTCAGGTTCCGGATACCGATGACAATACCAGCTCATTCCTCTCAGTATTTTATTTATTATTAAATTTATTTGCTATCTCATATCCAACGACGCTGGCCAGTTTACAACATAAAAAGCATTGAAACCATCAATTATAAAATAATACAGCAGATAAACTCATTAACACAAGATGTTAATATCAGTTCATTTTGAACGCCCACAAAAAAAGTGCCATATTTTTCAGAGTATAAGACGTACCGGAGTATAAGACACAGCTTAGTTTTTGGGGAGGAAAATAGGGGGAAAAAATCTGCCTACCAGGTATTCATCTGGCTAGCGTCCTTAGTCTGGTCAGCTTCAGCACATTAGTTTGCTGGTTTTTATCCCCTGCTTGGGGATAAAAGAAACAGCTTCTAAATTTGAGAGAACAGAAGCTCCTAAATCAGGGGTCCCCAAACTTGGCAGCTTTAAAACTTGTGGACTTCAACTCCCAGAATGGGAGTTTGAAGACCTCTGACCTAAATAGACACCAGGGATAACCATCATAAAGTTTCATTCACCTGAAAGTCTCTATGCTCCTAGGAACGGGATTACCAAACACTAGGGTTTGTTTTGTTTCTTTCCATAAAAGAGAGGAATAATTGTGTTCCTTTGTTCTATTTTGAAGGCAATTCAGAAGGGTAACACGGAAGTGGCAAGAATCCATGCAGAAAATGCCATCCGACAGAAGAACCAAGCAATCAACTTCCTGCGCATGAGTGCCCGGGTAGATGCTGTGGCAGCGAGAGTGCAGACGGCCGTCACAATGGGCAAAGTGAGCAGGCAATTTATATATTTATTTTTTACCCTTCCTTATAATAATAACGACTCATCATGGTAAATCCTTCCTCCTATTTCCCCCCATATTAACGACCCTGTGAGGTGAGCTAAACTGAGAGAGAGGAACTGGCCCAAAGTCCCCCAGTTGGCATTCATGCCTAAAATGGGACTAGAACTCACAGTCTCCTGGTGATTGGCCCAAAGTCCCCAGTTGGCATTCATACCTAAAGTGGGACTAGAATTCACAGTTTCTTGAGTTATAGCCTGGTGCCTTAACCACTAGAATAAACAGGCGCTCTCCTCTTTTATCAAGGAACATACATGGCAAAAAACCTTGGAGAGTACTTGACATACATTATTTGATAATGCCTAAGATTTGTTGCCATAAATTTAATCCATGGCAATTCCAGATAGCAATGAGAAAGTTCTCCACATGAAATGTTGAAGAATCTGGGACTATGCTCATACAGTGTGATGAGTCACTGTTTGCTTAATTATTGTTTATTGAATAAGCCAGACAGCAGCCTGGCCTATGAACTCCAGTCTCTAGATTTGTGCAGCACATTAGATCCTATTCAAACAGACAATATTAGTAAGGTCCTTGGTGCTCTCTGAGCTTGGTGGATTTCTTGCAGACGTTTCATTACCAAACTAGGTAACATCATCAATGCACTGATGATGTTACCTAGTTGGATAATGAAATGTCTGCAAGAAAACCACCAAGCTCAGAGACCACCAAGGCTCTAATATTTCAACCCTGAGCTACAAATATTCTCTTCTGTTGAGACAATGCATTGAGTATCCTGCTCATGATTGAAGAAGATGCTTTGGCTGGCTAAACTTAATTAAATTAACAATAAACTATGATGTACCAGCAACTATGCTTGTATTCATATGGCACACTAATCTAAATAAAAAATATACCATGGAGTAATGTAATATTAAAATATTAACCCTTATCTGTGCCAGATTATGTAAATAGCATGGAGGCAGGAAAAAAAAACCACTCACAAAATTTTACTTATTTGCCTTACCAAAATGCAGCCTAAAAATAACTTTTTCCAGTATCCCTTAAAAAGTAATTTACAAGGTAGCTATGAATGGCAGAGATTTGGTTATTTCTCACCTTGAAAAACATACCAGCAGTTCTACAGATGTAATAATAACACTCCAAAATCTGCATCGGGACAATAGACGATCTCTAGCTTGGAATGGAATGGGAATAGAATTTTTTATTAGCCAAGTGTGATTGGACACACAAGGAATTTGTCTCTGGTGCATAAGCGCTCAGTGTAGATACAAGCAATAAGTGATAAATTGTGGCCCGTTAGCGGCCTGTGCGGATTGTAGCTGATTCTGACAGCGAGGAGGCTGGTGTGGTGTTGTGCCAGCAGCCTGTGCAGCTGGCACTCGAGTCAGACAATGAGGAGGCTGGAGAAGATGTGGTGCCCAAGGCAGGGATTCAGCCAGGGCCTTCAGAACCTCCAGAAGCTCCTTTAAGTGAAGAGGACGAAGAGGAGGAGCCTCTTCTCGATGCACGGGCGCGCAGAGCTGCCAAAAGGCAGGAGTGGCTCCTCAGGAGGAGGTCTCCTCGAGAGTAAGGCTTGGGGCTAATTGGCCACTCCCTTAGCCTATTTAAGGAGGAACACCGACTGAAGCAATTTGTAGGGAACAACTTTAGTTCACTACTTCGTGTCTGGATTCTCTGCACATTGCTTCTGGGCTTTCTGCCAACTCTAGTAAGACTGATTACCTTATCTTAGAATTCTGGTAGGCTGTTAAGAAAGTTTATTAACAGCCTTTGTTTTGAAAAAGACTGAGTTATTTTAGTAAATTAAGTTTTGTACAAACTTTGTGTGTGCTGCGTTCTTTGGGGTCCGTAGCTGAGGCAGAACATAAATCATGATCATACTCATCGTAAAAATACTTTCTCTATAGCTTTTATCAGGTGCAGTTATGAAACAGGAGCTAAGGAAATTGAGGGGTGGGGGGTGATGGGAAAACTCTCTTGATATGATTATCATACACTTTCTCTTCTAGGTAACAAAATCCATGGCTGGAGTAGTTAAATCAATGGATGCTACGTTGAAAAGTATGAATTTAGAAAAGGTAAAAAAGGATACATTTTGCTGTTCATTTTTAAATGTTTCCTGCTACTCTTTTGATCTCTTCTGCTTAAACCGTTTATTTACCTACAGATTTCTGCCCTGATGGATAAATTTGAACAGCAGTTTGAAACCTTAGATGTCCAGACAGCACAGATGGAAGACACCATGAGCAGTACTACCACACTGACAACACCACAAGTAGGTACCCATTAAAGCAGAGATGTTTGCTTCCACTTGCAGTAGTCTCTATCGAAGTTTCTCAGCCTCAAGAACTTTAATAGGTTAACAGAGTTGGAAGGGACCTTGTAGATCATCTAGTCCAACCCCCCACCCAAGCAGGAAACCCTACACCATTTCTGACAGATGACAGTCCAGTCTCTTCTTGAAAGCCTCCAGTGATGAAGCTCCCACAACGTCTGAAGGCAACTTCTGTTCCATTGGTTGATTGACTTTTTTGATTGTTCCATTGGCTACCTGGCTGGGGAATTCTGTGAGTTGAAGTCCACCAATCTTAAAGTTCTCCAACATGATCGCCAACGTCCGATGACGGATATGGCACAAGAAGAAGAATCTTAAAATTCTTGAGGTTGAAAAATACTGGCTTGCTATATATTCTAGTGACTACAGTATCTTGGCCCTGGTGAGAGAAATGTTCAAAAGAAAGTTTGCTCCTTCATGATGGGTCTCCTCTTTCTTTGAGAACCGAGTAAGTTTTACAATGTTTTCGGTTGAGAGACTGTCATATTTTTAATTTAAAAAAAAAAATAGATGTAAAGCCGGTTTCTTACAAGTACTGGTGGGCCCTGTACAATCTATGTAAGTAATACATTGAGTTGTTTTTTTGAATTCTGCAGAAAAACATTGGAACCCATTTCTTTAGTGCTAATTAGGATTGAAAAATGGAAGTAAAAAAGGAAATCTGCTGTGAAGGATTGAGAATGTTCTTCCAGGCACTGAAGGAACAACATAAGAATCAGCAAAATTACTATAATCCTAAAACAGTCCATTAAAAAAAAAGAGTTGTAACAACCACAGTGCTCTGAAAGTTTACCCCACACAATTACAAATGCCTTCTCGTGACCAAGAACTCTTTCAGTACAAAATCTCTAATAATTATCTGTATCATATTGCTGCCCTCTTAATTGTAACTCAATCTTTTATATAATGCCTGCTTTAACAGATTAACAGAGTTGGAAGGGACCTTATAGGTCATCTAGTCCAGCGGTTACCAACCAGTGGTCCATGAGAAAATTTTGGTGGTCCGCAGAAAAATTGTTTGCATTTTTTATATTGCACTAAATACTATTTATCTTTTTTAAAAAATCATATTAGTGGTCCGTGGGATTTAAAATTATGAATTTAGTGGTCCCTGAGGTCCGAAAGGTTGGTGACCCCTGATCTAGTTCAACCCCCTGCCTAAACAGGAGACCCTACACCATTTCTGACAAATGGCAGTCCAATCTTTTCTTGAAAGCCTCCAGTGATGAAGCTCCCACAACTTTCAAAGGCAAGCTGTTCCATTGGTTGATGGTTCCGCTGTCAGAAAGTTCCTCATTTCCAGGTTGAATCTCTCCTTGATCAGTTTCCATCCGTTATTCCTTGTCTGGCCTTCAGGTGCTTTGGAAAACAGGTTCTCCCCCTCCTCTCTGTGGCAGCCTCTCAAATATTGGAAGACTGCTATCATGTCTCCCCTGGTCCTTCTCTTCACTAGACTAGCCATGCCCAGTTCCTGCAACTGTTCATCGTATGTTTTCGCCTCCAGTCCCCTCATCATCCCGGTTGCTCTTCTCTGCACTATTTCTAGAGTCTCAGCATCTTTTTTATAATGTGGTGACCAAAACTGGATGCTGTATTCTAGGTGTGGTCTTATTAAGGCTTTATAGAGTGGTATTAGTACCTCCCTTGATCTTGATTGTATCCCTCTGTTAATGCAGCTTTTTTTTTTTTTTTTTAGAACCAAGTAGATATGCTCCTTCAAGAAATGGCTGATGAAGCTGGGTAAGTGTGAATATCCAAAAATCGAAATAAATGCAGTACATGAAAAAAAATACGTTTGGGAGAGCAAGGAATTCCTGGTTTTCTTCAGCTCAGTAGAGTCCCACAGGATTGAGAAAATGGAGAGGCATAGTATAATCAAACTTGTTGCCTCTAATCCGTTTTCTACTTTTTTTTTTTTTTAATTTGATTTATATGCCGCCCTTCTCCGGAGACTCAGGGCGGCTTACAATGCGTTAAGCAATAATCTCTAATCTGTAACTTGTTGCTTCCATCCATGGGGCCAAGCTTCTCTGGCTGGAGAATTAAACGTGCTGATATTCAGCACATCTGGAAAGTAGCAACTTGAGGAAAACTGAACTAGGTTATAACCTATTGTTAATACTTCCTAAAGCAGAAGAATTGTAATGCTCTCAGAAGTATTGACATTTTTCTGATTGTAAATTAACAACAAGATTGGAATCAGTTCCCAAGGTCCACATTTTTTTTTTTAAATTTATATACCGCCCTTCTCCGGAGACTCAGGGAGGCTTACAATGCGTTAAGGAATAGCTTTCATACTTTTGTATATTTATACAAAGTCAGCTTATTGCCCCCACAAACCAGGTCCTCAATTTACCTACCTTAGAAAGGATGGAAGGCTGAGTCAACCTTGAGCCTTGGAGAGATTCGAACCTGCAGTAATTGCAGGCAGCTGATGTTAATAACAGTGCTTTAGTCTGCTGCGCTACCAGGGCTTTGACAATAGAAGCAGCAAGAAGGAAGTCTACCCCCTCCCCCAAACTATGCTTATCTCAAACCCTGATCTGTTGTAATTCAGGTTTAGAGGTTTATATATTCCAACCTTCACAGGGTTGATTGTGGCATGTGCAGTGTAATGTATAACTTTTGACTCGGGTATACTCTATTTTTTAATTTAAGTGAGATGGTTGAGGTTTGCTCCTCGAATATGAAATGCCGTATCTGAATGCCAATGTTTAATGTATTTGGTTGTATTTTTCTCCCTTTGAATTTTAGGCTTGATCTGAATATGGAACTACCTCAGGGACAAACAGGCTCTGTTGGCACAAGTGTTGCTTCAACAGAACAGGTAAATATTGCCTGTCCTGGCTTGTTCTCTTCTCCCCTTATACTACAGTGCACGGGTGCCAAACTTGCCGTGTCACGTTGCCTTCACATGACGTTTCGTGACATTTTTCCCCCTTCACACAGCTGGGGTGGGCGTGGCCTGCGCGTGACGCATCCGGACTGTGAGCCGCCAGTTTGACTCCCCTGCTATAGTGTATGCTGGCTGGGGGATTCTGGGAGTTGAAGTCCACAAATGTTAAAGTTGCTGAAGTTGGGAAACAGTGTCATAGAAGATTGGCTGGGATATTGTTAATATTTAAACTTTTTAATATATCTTACTAAGGTCCAATATGGCTTGCTCTTATCATTTGGGGCTAGAATTACTTAAAATGAAATAATCTGCAAGTTTTAATATCTTAAACAATTTCCTGTCCTTTCCTCATTTCTTCTGCATTGCCTTTCTTATTTATGGCCTTGTTTATTTGCTTACCGTATTTTTTGGAGTATAAGTCGCACTTCCCCCCCCCCCCCAGAGGGTGAAAATTTGGGTGCATATTATACACTGAATGTAGCCCCGCCTACCCACCGCCCCCCACCCTTTGACTTCTGCCTCCCAGCAATTTACCTCCTTGCAGCAGACAGCAAACAGCCAGTTTCAGCTTCAGCACAACCTGATTAGCACAAGCATCTGATTATTGGTTGGATCGGCTTCCCGACCATCAACTCTTTCAGGCTCCCTATTGCAGCCTCCGCGGACCTTTGCTGTTTGCTGCAAGGAGGCAAATTGCTTGGAGGCCGATTTTTTTTTCTTGTGCTAATCTGGCTGTGCTGAAAATGAAACTGAAACAGGCTATTTGCTGTTTGCTGCAAGGAGGCAAATTGCTGGGAGGCAGAGGCAGATTTTTTTTTCTTGTTTTCCTCCCTAAAAAAGGTAGGTGCGCCTTATAGTCTGGAACGTCTTATACTTTGAAAAATACGGTAATTTATTTACAAGGTCCAGAGGCCGCTCACTTTGAATTTCTGTATACCCTGTTTCCCCTAAAATAAGACATCCCCTGATTATAAGCCCAATCGGGCTTCTGAGAGCATGCACTAAAATAAGCCCTCCCCTGAAAATAAGATCTCCCCGAAAATATTTAAACTCATGCGCAGCCGGTCCCCGCCATTTCCTCTGGTTCCCTCCATGCACCCCAAAATAATAAGCCCTCCCCGAAAATAAGGCCAAGTGCTTATTTCGGGGTTCAAAAAAATTTAAGACAGGGTCTTATTTTTGGGGAAACATGGTAGTTCTTAGAAAACTTCAGAAGCTTCTTTTTTTTTTTTTAAGTGACAGACCCATTTATCTGGCCCAGACTTACCTTGACTTGCAGCGTTTGATCTCCACCCCTTCAATTTGTTACTCTTTTAAGGTGTTTTGTATCTTGATCATATATTCATATCTGTCTCTGTTCTGAAGGACGAACTCTCACAAAGACTGGCACGTCTCCGCGATCAAGTGTGAGGGGGAGTCAACGTCTGCAGCGTTGTACATACGCTTCCAGCTGCATTCTCTGTACATATTGGGTGGCCTGACCAGGATTTCTGTCAAGATGTTTAAATAACACACAAGTACCGGGGTCTCCAACCTTGGCAACTTTAAGACTTGTGGACTTAACAAGTTTGCTTGGACTTGTGGAGTTGAAGTCCACAAGTCCAAGCAAAGCTGGACTTGCTTGAAGTCCACAAGTCCAAGCAAAGCTGGCTGAGGAACTCTGGGTGTTGAAGTCCACAAGTCTTAAAGTTGCCAAGGTTGGAGACCCCTGCACTACTGAACACCTGTCTCTCTTTCCCCCCCCTTCCTTTGCTGTGCTTTCCAAATTGCATCTAACTCAGTAGTGTTGTGCCCTAAGTGCATTTTCTAGGTCCGTAATTGTACATTTTGAAGCTGAAGGTTATATTTTTGCAGATCTCTTTTTCAACGATTAAAATGTCGGTTTTATCGGATGTTGCGGCAAGTAATCAAACCGAAAGAACCGCTTGTATAATTTTAAGTTATAGAACACATTTTTAAATTATGTTTGCAATTAAATCCCTAAGATGGTGTGTACGTGATTCACTTGGTGTCACATTAATTATCAATAATATAAAATATGTGTGTGTATCCACCAGTATTACATCACTGGAGAATCTTTCCAAAGCCCGTTACTTGTCATGACACCTAAAAATCAAGCAATATTGATGCTGTCCTTATAATCGGAAACTCATATTGCTAGCAACAGTTCAGTACCAAAGGAATAAAATATATTTTTCAACGCTTTTGCCTAGATTTCCTTAAAAATATACATGACACTCCTATAGAGAGGAATACCTTGATACAGTAACGAAAACTAACCAAAACATCAAATTTGAAATGTCATTTTAAGATTGTGGTATTGTTGAATCTGATTGTTTTCTGCTGTGCGTGGGGCGATCGACGGAATTATATCAGAAAGGAAAATTAACAAACATGAGCATACGTCTGAAGTATTCCGTGAAGTATGCTTCAATTCTGTCTTTGTATCTCTGCTTAAAACAAATGGTAAGATAAAGATATCTTCAACTCAAACTTTATTCCTGATGATTTTTTGAATCTCTGCCATTTTCGCGTTGCTGGTAATTGTCCGAATAAATATTATTACTTACTTTTCTTCACACTTGGGGAGAAGTTTATTCTCGCTTCCTTCTGAGATGTTTTTCCAATTTCCCAATTGTTGTGGCCTGCCAACGGCTGGCAGATTCGGACAGTGAGGAGGTTGGGGAGGAACATGGGCCAGTCCTGGAGGCTGGGGAAGGCTCTGATGAGGGCTCTGCATCGGAGGCAGAGATGGGGCCAGGGCCGGATGCCAGTTATCAGCTGCCTTCAGAGTCGGACATCAGTGAGGCAGACGAATAGTTGGAGCCTGCTCCCAGTGTGCGCATGCGCAGAGTTGCCAGACAAAGGGAACAGCTAAAGAACAAGGGTCGACTTGGGAGTAAGGCCACAGGTGGATGGTGAATGGCCCCTCCCAGAGGGAATAAAAGAGGAGCGAAAGGGGAGTGGAGTTTTCAGGAGACAATTAGTTCGCTTAATTGCTTCATGACTCTCCAAGACTCTTTGCCAAGTTTTGAAGATATCGGCCTGGCAGCTCTCCAAGCCAGATAAGGTCTGTGACTGTAAATTCTCCCTTGAAAGACTTTGCTGAAGGTGAGTGAGAGGAATTCACTGTTTGTTTAATAAAAGGGGTTTTGTCGGGACCAGGACTCTGCTTCGTGCTTTTTGGGAAAGCCTAGGTCAGAACAATCTAGCCTATAGACATGGGCTTTCCTGGTGATCTCCCAAATTTATTTATTTATTTTTATCCCGCCTTTATTCTTTTCACAAATAAGGCAGCGAACATATCCAGCCCACCTTTCTCCTCCTCCTCCTCTTCCTCTTTTCCCCGCAACAACAGCCTTGTGAAATGAATTGGGCTGAGAGAGACAGACTGGCTTTCATGGCTAAGGCAGGACTTGAACTCAGGATCTCTTGCTTTCTAGCCTGATGCCTTAACTTTTAAGCCTACTTAGCTTGGAAGCCCAGATCAGGCTGGCCAGTTGCCACCTCCTGAAACTAAAAGCAATGACAATTCCTGAAAGAGATAGTCCACGGTGGCACAGTGGTTAGAATGCAGTACTGCACGTTAACTCTGCCGACTGCCAGCCGTTCAGCAGTTCGATTCTCACCAGCTCAAGGTTGACTCAGCATTCCATCCTTCCAAGGTGGGTAATATGAGGACCCAGATTGTTGGGGGGCCTGTAAAGCACTGTGAAGCAGTATATAAGTGCTACTGCTATTCCTCTTCTAAAATATAAATATCCTGCACATTGGTATTTAGAGGATTTCAGCTTTTCTCACTCCTTTCTGTGGGTTGAAATCGCATTTATGGCTCCAACATACCACCTTCACTTTGCATTTCTCAGGTGAAGCTGCAGTTAGCAGTTTTACAACTAAGAGTTTTAACTTCAGTTTGGGTGCAGGTAAAAATGACAGAGAAGCTTAATGAAATTGAAGGGATGTTTAATTGTGATTCACCATGAGTCGGCACAAGAAAAACCTGACCAAGTAAAAGCTGCTGAATTGATTTTTAATTTTAATACAACAAAATATTCTGAATGGGTGGGCCCCAAATCTGATAGGGCTGAAATTTTGAAGAAAAAAAAAGTGACAGAAAAAGACCTGGTGACACAGTGGTTAGAATGTGGTGAAAAGGTAAAGGTAAAGGTTCCCCTCGCACATATGTGCTAGTCGTTCCTGACTCTAGGGGGTGGTGCTCATTTCTGTTTCAAAGCTGAAGAGCCAGCACTGTCCGAAGACATCTCCATGGTCATAGGTGGTCCCTATTTTTCTACTTGCATTTTTTTACCTGCTTTCGAACTGCTAGGTTGGTAGAAGCTGGGACAAGTAATGGGAGCTCACCCCATTACGCGGCACTAAGGATTCGAACTGCTGAACTGCCGAACTTTTGATCAACAAGCTCAGTGTCTTAGCCACCGAGCCACCGTGTCCCTTGTAGAATGCAGTATTGCAGGCTAATTCTGCTGACTTCCAGCAGTTTGATCCTAACCGGCTCAAGGTTGACTCAGCACTTCCATCCTTCCGAGGTCGGTAAAATGAGGATCCAGATTTTGGAAGGGCAATAGGCTGGCTCTGTAAACCCCTTAGCACTGTAAAAGCACTGTGAAACGGTACATAAGTCTAAGTTAGCCGGTCTCTCTTGATTTTATGATTTTATGGTTGATTTTAAATTTTGATATGGATTTTAAATTGATAAATTTTAAACTATGGGCCAAATTTAATTATTTTAAATCTATTTTTAATCGCACTTTATGTATAAATGTTTTATTTTGGCTGTTCACCGCCCTGAGTCCGAAAGGAGAAGGGCGGTATAGAAATTTGAATAATAAATAATAAATAAATAAGTGCTATAAAGGAAAACAAGCAATTTTTACAATCGGGCAGTCTACCATTCCTCATTTTTTTCATAGCAGAATGGCATAGAGGAAGCAAAGAGAGAGTTTCCCCAAGCTGTTACTTTACCTAATGGTTAGACACAGAGTCATTTTATCTCTTAGAGAATGAACGTACGCCCCTTTGAATGCGTTCCTCCATTGGTACTACGTCTGCATAAATCCGCATGGACTTCTGATTTCTGATTTCTTAGCAGTGTGTAATTCAGGGGTCTGCAACCTTAAATACTCAAAGAGCCATTTGGACCCGTTTCCCACAGAAAAGAAAACACCGGGAGCCACAAAACCTGTGTGGGCGTGGCCAACTCAATGTCACTCACTTCCACCAGTCACATGACCTCCCCAGCCAGTCATTAGGGCAGACAACCAGTTGTTAAAAAACACCAGGAACCACACAATCCTTTTGACATCTCTCTCTCCCCCTCTCTCTGTATCTCTGTCACTGTCCTGGCCACTTCTCCATCCCCTGCCGTCGCCCTTACCTTCTCAGGCCAGGCGAGGAGTGACTGGGAGGGGAGGGCGAGGGGCAGGGCCAGCCAATGGTGGGATCATCTGACAGCAGAGGGCCCAAAGAGCCTCATGTGGCTCCAGAGCCCCAGGTTGCTGACCCCTGATGTAACTGGAAGCTACATTTTCATAAGTCCGGATGTACAATTCTGTTTTAATTTTTTTTTTTACAAAAGAATTAAAAATGATCCAAATTCCAAGCAAAGTTCTTTGAATTAAAAAGGATCCTAATCAGTGGTGAAATTCAATTTTTTTTACTACCTGTTCTGTGGGCGTGGCTTGGGTGTGGCGTGGCTTGGTGGGCATGGCAGGGGAAGGATACTGCAAAATCTCCATTCCCACCCTACTCCAGGGGAAGGATACTGCAAAATCCCCATTCCCTCCCCACTCCTGGAGGAAGGATATTGCAAACTCTCCATTCCCACCCCAATCTGGGGCCAGGTAGAAGTGGTATTTGCTGGTTCTCCGAACTATTCAAAATTTCTGCTACCGGTTCTCCAGAACCTGTCAGAACCTGCTGAATAGCACCCCTGATCCTAATATCATGCAAAACTCTTTGAAACTTGTTTATTTTGTGAGGCTTTGTTTGATGTGAAAGAGAGTCTGAGATAACTACATGTATTCGGTTGCCAGTTTATACAAAAGAATGGAAGAAAATGTTTAAAGTACTTATTTGGTGGGACTTTATTAGGTGTTACATTTTTAAATACATATTTTTTTAAAAAAAATTGACTTGAGGCTGCAGTTAAGTTACACAATCTAGTAAATAAGATGATGTACATAGATATGACTATAAATTAGATTTAAGGAAAAAGTTGAACAAACAGTTTGCTAGTTTTCAAGTGGAAAGCATCAGTATGACATGTAGGTATTTTATTATATTTTATGCTTCCAATTTTCTCAGGTTATTTTCATAACAACTGGCCTGTATCTATCCAGATAGGTTTAGTATTGAATCGAGATATAAATCTTTTTCTGTTCCTCTTGTAAATATAGAAGTGTTTTTGCTGATAATCCCTGTTTTCATATTTTCTTTGTGTGTTCTGTTTCTTACTGCCTTTGAGCGTGGGTTTAAAAAGAGATTCAGAATCACTTTCCGCTTGATAAATTTGATTATTTTTTTCAATGAAACCAGTAGAGGGAAGTAGAAGACCTTGTAAATTTCACCAGTAAATTTCACTCAAACAATGTTCGAGATACCCATATCAGTTTCTGATTCTTAAGAAAATCATCCTACGAATTAAAATCCATGCTTCTTAGATGGCCCCATTTCACTCTCAGCTTGCGTTGTCTTCCACTTTGTCATTTTAAAAGTAAAATTTTACCAGATTGGTAAAATGAGGGCCCAGATTGTTGAGGGCAACATTTTGACATTGTAAACTGCCCAGAGAGTGCTGTGAAGCACGGTGGAGTGGTATCTAAGTCTATTGCAAGTGCTACTCAACCTCACTACGTTCCATCACAACTTTCTTCTTTAGAAATGTTGGTTTTTAAATGTTTATTTATTTATTTATTTATTTTTCATATTTGTATACCGCCCTACTCCTGAAGGACTCAGGGCGGTGAACAGCCATAATAAATACAAATACATATAGAAGTTAAAAACTATTAAGAAACAGATTAAGTAATTTAGGCTCAAAGATTAAAAACATCCAAATTTATCCAAAGAGATTCAAAACCCAATTCAAAAGCCAGTTTAAAAGCCAATTAAAAAGGGAGAGTTAGGCCAGACCAGCCTGCCGGAATAGAAATGTTTTCAGGGCACGGCGGAATATGCGTAAGTCTTGGATGTTTCGTAACTCCGGGAGAAGCCCGTTCCAGATGGTAGGTGCCCCCACAGAAAAGGCTCTCCCCCTGGGGGCCGTCAGTCGACATTGTTTGAACCCCAGATGAGAAGTTTGGGTGCCAATCCCAGGCCCACTTCCTGGCGAGCTGCCATCATTTTAGCATCATCTATAACTATAAAGACAGTCCAGTTGAGACTCGCTAAGCCATCATGCTTAGTCACAATATGGTGGGTTTTTTTTATTTTTATTATTATTAATCATCTCACAGTCAGCCAGATGTTCAGAC